TTTGCGGGTCCCGTTGCATCGGGGCAGACATACCGAAGGTATATAGAGCAGTTGCCCAGGTCAGGTTCACTGCATCAGATGTGTACGCGTCGCATGCTCAGGTATTGGGCTGCAGAGACCGCAACCGCAGTAGTTACTGCGAACGTCGCGATTGCGATTGCTAGGAGCACTGCTGCACACAGGTCCCAAGATCTTGTTCGCGCTGTTTATGGGCGAGTGGAATGCACGCGCGGCGAGCATCCACCGATGGCTCGGCGCGGTACTCGCCGTGGCTGGACGTGGCTGTGGGCGACAGTGCCAAGGTGCGAAGGCTTACCACCACCATCGGAGGATTTCCACAAAGGGAGGAGCTCATGCGCAAGAGCCAGGACACATGGGAGCGGATAGTCGGGTAAGCTCTGCACAGCACGTCGCAAATACTCATGCGCACTATGATGGCCAAGGAGGTAGGGCAGACCTTCTTTGCAGCGGGCCGACAGCGCAGCGTATCACGTCACATATAACGTGTCTTTGGTGCAGTGCGCAGTGCAAGAGGCGTGCGTCCTTCAGAACACACGTTGCGTGCGGACATCGGCGGCGAGCTGTGCAGGCTAATGCTTGGGCGGCTCCCAGCGGGCCATGTCATGCGAGCCTGGCCACGTTGCGTAACAGACATCACCTGGTCGACCATCTTGGTTTCGACTCCCCCCGTTGCTTTTTCACACTACTGAGCGATCCTATTACCAGGCTTTCTGCACCGACGTCAACAATCCCAGGGGCATGCCCAGCGCGCCGCGTGTCCAGCTTTATTTCTGCGCCCAGCAGCAGGGTCAGGGCCCGCGCGGCGGCCCGTGGACGTCGCAAGTAGGGGTCCCTACCATGAGAGCAAGAGAACCCTTGTCTGAGCACGCTGCGGATGTGGCAAGACCGATGTCCCAGGCTAGCGCCCGACGCGGGCCATTGACGGCACATCTAGCGACACCGACGTCCTCGATCGCTGCATCACTGCCGCCACCCGAGGCTGCCGTGCCAAAGCAAACGCCTGCAATCGACTTACTCTGCAGAAGTGTATCCCAGCAGGCTTCTCCGACCTGGCAGATTTCTAGGGATGGCCAGTCATACCCATAGGTGTCCGACGGGTGGAGTATTTTGTCTTGAGCCCGTATTCAGGGCGCAGGAGGTCAGGAGACGCGCAGGCGGGTGGAGTGGACACATTACCGCCCAGATCTTCAAGTCATCAATTTGTCCATAGCTGTCGCGATGCATGAGACATCTGGGGACATGATTGAAATGCTCGGCGCTAGATATTCGGAAACGTCACACTAGAGCTATGCGCGTGGTTGTGTCTGGGGGTGGCCGCCGTGCGAGACTTGTTCAGCTTCCGGGCGGGCCGAGGGGTCTTGGCCTCCCACCTGCGTGCACCTGGCGAGCGCTGGGGTTCAGTGCGGCAGCGGCGCCGCGTCGGATGGAGCAGCTACGAGTAGGCAGTGCACCACTGCGCGCCATGGCAGCACCCTTTTGCAGAACGCATGGGGGAGGAGGCAGGACGAGGAGGAGGAGGAGGAGGCAGGACGAGGAGGACGAGGAGGGGGGGAGGACGAGGAGGGATGGAGGGATAGGGGGAGGGAAGAAGAACAACGCGCCCCCTGATCGACCGCCGCCGACCCCCCGTCGTGCTAGATAGAGTGCCCGTAACCGTGTGACGAGAGGTTGCAGGCAGTCACCTCTTTCGCATGGCACCCGCTCCGTGCTGTCCTGCCGTCGCTAGCCGTCTTTGAGAGCGGACAAACATCCCGAGCATGCACGCGCACCCTTACCTTACGCATGCCTGGCCTGCGTTCCGGTCTTCATGCTACACATGGTAGCGGGCGCTGCTCGTGCGGTAGGAGTTGACGCGACGCGCTGCTGGTCTGCGATGCTGAAGGCAAGGGGTAGTCAAAAAGACAACCTACCCGCCACAGTTGCGCAACCGTTCGGCACATTCTACAGTTGCGGCACTACAGGCGTTGTGGGAACAGACGGGTCCTAACGATTTTCCAGAGCATATGAAGGAGCCCGAGGACCCACGTGCCGCGTTGCTGCGTTTTTATGCTCCCTGGGGCCGATGCCAAGGCGTGGGCGAGTGATGAGCTCCAGATTTCGTTTCAAGATCCCATAGCATTCGAGGTGACCCGGGGCTGCACCGTTGTAAACCGCGTGCGCTTGCGGCCGCAAATCAAATCCCACCCAATCCGGCAGCCGACCCCGCGCCCCACTGCGACGCCGCGTCCTCGTGGGGCCCCAGATGCTAATGAGGAGAAGGAATATTTTGATGCTCTAGATCTCGTAGGTGTCTCGCAGCAGCCTGGGATTGCGATGGCCGTTCCCGCTGCCCGTCCCCCGCCCTCTCCTGTGCCCCGCGGACGCTGTCAGAGAGCGCATACCGCCAACTCGTCTTGTTGCCAAGGCGCACCGAGCTGGAAGCGCTGCTGCGGATAGACTAAAGCATCTGACAGAGGTGGCCCCCTGGACGGTTGACCCAGGGCTTGGCGCAGAATTTGTTGGACATCATTTGCCAGTAAAGTCCCGTCAGGCAGATATAGTTTCGAAGTGTGGGTGAGAAAGCTATCTGGCATTGCTGGTGCTGTCGCCGCCGTAGCCCCTCCCCGGACAGAGGCGCCGCCCCTGCTCTCCCTCCCTGATGGGGCCTCCCTCTCTCCTCCCCCCCCAGCCGCAGGCCCACGTGAGCTCAGCAGGGACGAGTGGTGCACCAGAAAACGCATTACACGTGCGTTGCCTCCTTTCGTGCTATACCGAGGCAGTGCCTGGCCAAGTTCAGCAACTCACGGCAGCCGCCAGCCTGCAGCATGCCTCGCTGCGCCCCTACCGCTCTCTCCCCATGGGCCCACGCGAGCCCAGCTTGGGCCAATTGTGCACCCGAAAGCGCAACACACGTGCGAGGTCCTTTCTGTGTTTTTTTGAGCGCCCGACCTCGCCAGATTCATCAACTCACTAGCGGCCGCCAGCCTGCCGCCTGCCTCACTGTTGCTCTCTTGCCAAGGGCCCATGTGAGCCAGCCGGGACTAGTGGCGCATCCGAGAGCGCACCACACGTGCGAGGCCCTACGCGTGCCACTATGTTCTCCCCATCCCGCCAGGTCATGAACGCAGCTCCGCCCGCTTTTTGTTTCGGACCTCTTTCTTTTCCCCCCTTCAGTGCGCGGGTCACCGACGTTGTTTGCCGCCGCTTCGCTGTGTCTCGTGCGAAGGGTGAAGTCAACTTCCCATTCAGGTATGCAGCGAACGGTCTACAAACCAGCAGGTTTTGGCTTCCGTTTGCTCGGGAAGCGTGTGGTCGGTACAGCCATGCTGTCCTCAGCCCTGCCATTTGTTGATCCTTAGGGGGCCAGGGTGAGGTAAAGACAGCTGTAGAGACAGTTTGACGGTGCTCAAGGTCAAGAGTGTTTGCTGGTGGCCTCGTCGCACACAGCCATGTGGGCGACGCAGGAAAACAGAGTCGTCTTCGCCGACATTGGCGCGTAAGCTGCCCGCGAAAGGTCGCGCGTAAGCGCCCTCGTCTGCAAAGTAGCGCGCTGCACTGGTGGCCTGCGTACGCCACCGCGTAAGGTCGCTGCATCATCTCGCTCAAGACCCGTTTTTGATCGCCGCCCATGTGGTCCCGTGCCTGCCCAGACCCAGCAGCTGGCATTCGCCGTGGGCGCTGCAGTCCAATCGGTGTTGCTGCCGCACCGTGCGCACCGTTCGCGTTGCGAGTCGGCTCGGTCCTGCCGCTTCCCGAACGCCCAGATGGCCGCTGCGTGTCCGCCGTCGTCTCGTTTCGTGCCGTGCCAAAAGGTGAGCAGGACAGGCCTGCCTCGACACTCAGCAAGCTGCCTTGCTACACTCGTGCTCCCTACAAGCCGTCTCCGCCCCGCGGGGGAGGGGCCCAAACGAACGGGTCATCAGGACTGCTACCGCTGCCTTCTTTGCTTTCTGCCAGGCTCTTGCAGACATGTGCACGTTAGTGGCTCATAACAGCCCAGATTCCCTCCTGCTCAGTTGTTTTCAGATCACGGGACAGGTGTCCTAGTGTGCAGTGCCTTGCTATGCAAGGCTGTCTGGCGGTGTGCATGGTCAGGCGGGTCTGATGGCGGGTCTGGCTGATCCCGAACACCCTACGGGGAACAGGGTGCGGTCGAGACAGCTGTAGAGGCAGGCTGGCGGTGTTCATTGCTAGAGCTGTCTGCTGGCGGCCTCGTCGCACACAGCCATGTGGTCCCGTGCATGCCTAGATCCAGCAGCAGGCGTTCGCCGTCGGCGCTACACTCCAACCGGGGTTGGTGCCGCAGCGTTCGACCTACAAGTGCCCGTCGTCTTTCTACGCAGTGCGCAGATTTCTGCTCGTCTGTTGTCCTACCGTTTGGTGCCGTTCTGGGGGATATCATAATAATTTTCCCATTCAGGTATCCAGAGAACTGCTGCAGGCGCGCCATTTGGGCGTCCCGTGCCGCGCTGCGACGTGCCAGTTTGTCTACCTCGGCCTGTTTGTAGTTTGCCCTCCTGAGCAAGCACCCGCGAGCAGCGGTGATAGCCGCCCTGTTGTCCGCCGTCGTTTCGTTCTCGCCGTGCTGGGGTGCAGGTAGCCTTTCCACTCAGGTACTACGAACGACCCAGACCCAAAGGTCACCTGCGTTCAAAGGCAGTTCGTATCACTGCCCACTTAGTAGTGCCTGCTTTCTTTCTTTGACTTGGGTGTCCCAGCAGAGTTTTTATCTCACAAATATTCTGCGAGCTGCGTGCCAGCTTCTGCTGACAGGCTCATTGCTTACTCAGTGTCGGAATCAAAACATCCGATTCTCGTCCAACATCTCCTCCCTTCTCCCTTCATCATTCTGACCCTCCCCCACTCCTTATCCTTGTTCTCCACGTCGCTCTCCTCATTCAGCCCCTTCCTCCTCCTCCTGCTTCTCCTCCTCCTCCCGGTCCTCCTCCTTCTCTTCCTCCTGCTCCTCCTCCTCCTCCTCCTCTTCTCCCCCCTCCGAGGCTACCGAGAGGGCCTCGCTGATGGCCGCAAAGAGGAAGGGACAGAAGAGGCTGTCGTTGGGGACCGGCCTGGGCATGATCTATGTTCCCCTGGGCCACGCAAGACACCACCAGGAGTGGAGGACGAGGAGGGACTGGGAGTAAGAGCGCGAGGAGGAGGGGAAAGACGGGGACGGACAAGGAGTTACATAACGAGAAGGACAGGAGGAGGAGGAGGAGGAGGAGGAGGAGGGGAGGGGGGGGGGAGGAGAGGGGGTCGATGATGGTGGAAAAATCCTGTTCGGATAGTTCGGATGAGTTTGGTTAGGATTGTGAATCCTCTTGTGATCTTCGATCCGCCGCCCCTTTCCTTGTCAACGAGTAGTTTCAACATCTACCCAGGGCTATTCGGGCTTGTGTCCCTTGAAACAATGTGCGCCGTGTACAGCCTCGGGGGATCTCTTGGGCGCCCCTCCCTGGTACACTGTCTTGGCAGCCTCGGATTCTATCCTGGGCCTCTTAGGATCCGCTTGGGCGATATCGAGAACCTCTTCAGCCATCTCTCTTGACCCCTCTTGAGGCCTTCTCGTTTCGGCCTCTTATGGCCTCCTCTGGCCCCGTTGGGCTTGTTGGGCTACTCTTGGGGCCTCTTGGGCGGAATTGTGGGTTTTGCCGGCCTCTGGGGGCCCGGCTGAACCCTCTTCGGGGTACCTTGGAGGGATCTTTCGAGCAGGAGATCGACTACAGAATTGGTTTATTCCAGAATTGATTTGCTCATCGAATCTACGAACAAATATGGCGGATGCTCGTAGGTCTGCATCCGTTCGACGTGCTTCTTCCCTCGTAGATCCGACGAACATTTCAAGTTTGGGGCAAATCAATTCTGTAGTCGATCTTGGGACCTGGTCGACTCCTCTGGGACAGTTGGCCGTCTTGGCGGCCTCTTGGCAGTTTCCTGGGCCGTTCTGGAAGCCCCCTCAGCAGCCATCTTGATGTGTTTCGCAGCGGGATGCACGAGCGGCGGCAGTGGCCCGTGGCGAGGCTTCTGAGATGAGATCAGCAGCACGACTAAGCGATGAGTACCGTCCTGCGCTTGGCACGCCCATCTCACCTTGTGGTGGCACTACATACAGGAAGCCAATGTTCTCCTCATACATGGGGTCAGCAGATCAAAGTCGCCTCTGGCGAGCCGCTGCCACTCCCATCGCTTTTGAAGACGCTTTCATGTGGCCAAACGGTAGGCTACAGCTTGTCCATACACTCAGATGCCGTGGTTCCCATTGTCGCCGTTACTTTGGAGGCTCTCCTGGAGCCATCCTGCACCGTTCTGGCAACGCGATGCGTGGCAGGCGGCAGTGGCAAGAGACCCTGTGACCAGGACCTGGCGAGAAACACCACGAGCAGAAAGGAATACACTACCTATACGACCACCCTTCGGGTGATAAGGAGGTTCGGGGGGGGGGAACCAACGTCTCACTCGATCGGTCTCACTATCGATCTCAGTATCGATCTCACTATCGGTCTCGCTCGATCGATCTCACTCGATCGATCTCACAATCGATCTCACTCGATCTATCTCATTCGATCGATCTCACAATTGATCTCACGATCGATCTCACAATCGATCACACAGTCGATCTCACATTCGGTCTCAATATCGATCTCACTATCGATATCACAATCGCTCTCACAATCAACGTCATCATCATCATCATCATCATCGTCATCAACATCATCAACATCAACATCATCACCAACATCGTTATCATCATGAGGGCACCGTCATCATCATCATCATCATCATCATCATCATCATCATCATCATCATCATCATCATCATCATAAACATCACCATCAACGTCAGCATCATCATCGGGACAACATTATCATCATCACCATCATCATCTCATCATCAACATCATCATCATCATGGCACAGTCATTGTCATCATCATCCGCAGCATCATCAGAATCATCATCCTAATCGGGACACCATCATGATCACCATCGTTCTCATCATCAACATTATCATCAACATCGCCATCATCCTCGGGACACCATCATCATCATGATCATCGCATCATCATCATCGACATCATCATCATCAACAACATCATCATCATCATCATCATCATCATTGGGGCACCGTCATCATCATGAGCAACATCATCATCAACATCGTCATTATCATTATTATCATCATCGGGACACCATCAGCATTACCATCATCATCATCACCATCATCATCATCATCAGCATCATCATCGGGACACCATAATCATCAACACCATGATCATCATCAACATCACTATCGCCGGGGCACCATTTCCATCAACATCATCATAACCAACATCATCGGACTCATCATCATCATCATCATCATCATCGGGACACCATCATCGTCATCATCATCATAATCATCATGAGCATCATCATCTTCATCATCGGGACACTATCATCATCATCGACAGCATCATCAACATCATCATCTTCATCGGGACACCATCATCATCATCATCATCATCATCATCATCATCATCATCATCATCATCATCTCATCATCATCATCATCATCATCATCATCATCGTCATCATCATCATCATCATCATCATCATCATCATCATCTCATCATCAACATCATCATCCTCGCGGGACACCGCGGGACACCGCGGGACACCGCGGGACACCGCGGGACACCAGCGGGACACCGCGGGGCTCCGGCCGCCCGGAAGGGAATCATTTGGTCCGGCCGCGCCTCAGCCACACGGGGCACCAGCGGGACACCGGCGGGACACCGCGGGGCCCCGGCCGCCCGACAGGGAATCATTTGGTCCGGCCGCGCCTCAGCCACAGGAGACTTTCTCTCGCCCGCCCACGCAGCTTCGCCTCGCCCGCACGGCACGCACGAACACGAAACCGAAATCGATTTCCCGGTAGGGGGGCTCTCCGTTCCACTTCGATCTCCCCCCCCAACCTCCGACAGTCGGGGCGTTGACCTAAGGAACCCTAAATAAGGAACGAGGCCCCTTTTTCCATAAGTTAAACTTCGATTTCCGATCGAAAACATAAGAGGGAAACCTGAGGCAGGCTGTGAAACACTTAAGGAACGCGGAGCCCCTCCCCAACCAAAAGGGTTCCTTCTTCAGGGCCCAGCCTGTATCGCACTTGGCATGCCCAATTCTACAGTGGGCGGCGGACCTAGAGGCGTCCATCCACTGCCGCCTGACCCCCCTGCACCGGGCATCCAGAGGTCGAGGTTACTGGGTACAGTCGGGGCCCTGAAGAAGGAACCCTTTTCGTTGGGGAGGGGCTCCGCGTTCCTTAAGTGTCTCACAGCTTGCCTCAGGTTTTCGAAGTTTCACTTATGGAAAAAAGGGGCCTCGTTCCTTATTTAGGGTTCCTTAGGTCAACGCCCCGACTGTAGGCCCCCGCAGCTTTCATGGACTCCCTTTGGTGGCCTCTTGGAGCGTTTTCGGAATTTCCTTAGGGCCTGGTGGGGTACTGCGCCCCCGTTGCGCTCTCCCTGCGCCCTCTGGAGCTTTCCCAGGGTTGTCCAGGAGGTACGTGAGGGTCCCCCTTGAAATCTTCCTGATCCAGCCTTGGCTCTCACGGGCGCCTCTCGATCGAGCCACGAAGCTCGCTACTCGGGCAGTCGGTGACTGGTGCCAACGGGAGATTTCTGCCAGGCTGGCCCTCGCGCGGTCTCGGAGGCAGAAATGGCGGGCGCAGTGTTAATCTAGCAGTCGCGCAAACTGAAACTCCAGTACTTTGAATCTGCGTCGTAACGCAGCCACTGGGGAAGAGGCCCCCCCCAACAGAAACAGCGCACGCGTACCAAGCCAATCCGATTGCATGTTTCACGCATGATCGATCGCAGCTTCCATCCAGTGACGCTGAGAACATGAGCACGGCCCTTGCGCCAGGATTCCGCTCGCAAGCCAGGACTTGAGCTGGCACGCGCGAGTATTATTATTATTATTATTATTATTGTAGGCTGTGTCAGAGTGTGGGCGCCTCCTTCCCCCAGATCGCTCTCTGCCCGCCTCCAGCCCAGGTGCCACAGAAGGCTGGCCTGGCAGAGCGCCAGGCGCCACACTCCGCTTGCAGGGATTGGAGAGCACACCCAAGCGTAGGATTGCAAAAACAAACCGAAGGATTGCAAGAAGGATTGCAAAAAAAACATGCAGATCCTTCGTTCAAGAAGGGTTATTTTGCAATCCTTCGTTCAAGAAGGGTTTTTTTGCGATACTTTGACCATGCAGATGTGCTATGTCTGCGCGCCGGAACCAGTCTAGACGTGCGCACGGGGACAGTGCACAGCGGTGCCGCCGTAACATGGCGCCCTAGCGCGATTCCGTCTTGTGTTCCGCAGTCTTGTGCCGTAGTTGGGTGCCGCGGCGTGGTATTTTAGCTTTTGTTGAACGTGGTGCGTGATGCTCAAGCGCGGTGCCAATGCGTGAGCTCGGTCGGGGAGTGGATCGGTGTCATCGCCTCTGAGCATCAATCGACTGCCACGATCGCGACTTTCCAGCGCTCGCTCGCAGTTATATCTGTGACATGATGCATGCTCGTTGGTGTCACGGCTCAGGGACAAACGAGTCGGCGTCAGTGTGTTGCGCAGCGTGACATGGCCGTTTTGGCAGAGGGGAGCTGCGTGCCCAACTCGTCTCTCTCGAGACGCTCGTGGCAGACATAACCTCGTAAGTACGCGTTTGAACGGCCTCATGAGTCGTGAGTCATCGCCAGGAGTCGAGAGTGTGCGAGGTCTAGCTAGTTTGGGACGCCAGTTTGAATGAACTGAGACTGCCCAGAACCGTGGCCGCGTTCACGGTGGAACGGATCTCATGACTCCCGCTTTTCGGGGCTCTTCCGGAGCTTTCACTGTGCGCCGCTTGCAGGTTGTGAGATAGTTGCGGTGACCCCAGGGCGGGGACGAGGACGGCGAGGAGGAGGAAATGGAGGAGGAGGAGGAGAAGGAGCCGCAACAGCAAAGTCAGCGGGACCTGCGCCATCAGAAGCAGCTCGGTAGTGACAGACGCAACAGTATGGCCAGTCTTCCTTGGCTCAGTGCTTTTATTAGCCAGGCTTAGTGTAGAGCTCTGGCGGTCCTTGGGATCGGCAGTATACGGCTTATTGTGATCTAAGGATGTACTTGCCATTCCAGCAGGCGTTTGACACCGCCTCTCGGCTCCCAGGGTTGAAACTTTGCGGTGATCTCTCTGAATTTAGTTGTTTTTGAATTGCTCGCTCTTCGTGATGCCCTGCAGTTCGGATCAGGATGACGGTGATCACGATGATGTTGATGGTGATGGTGATGATGATGAGGATGTTGATGATGATGCTGATGATGATGATGATGCTGATGATGATGATTATGATGATGATGAGGTTGATGAGGTTGATGATGATGATGATGACGATGATGATTGTTCCATCGAGAGTGAGCAATACGGAACCGCCATTCTCGAGAACACCCTCTTGTAATCACCGCTCGCTCGCCACCGCCTTCGCTTGTCTCCTTTCAGCGCCTGACTTTGCACACTTGTCCCCGCACGTGTCATTAACGCCTTGATCATATACAAACTTGTTAGTTTCCGTATTCATCCCATCCTCTTTTTGTAATCGTGTTTGTCGTATTCCGAAGGGTAAGCTTTTCCATTTTTACCCCTCGCCCTCTTCTCCCATGCCACCTCTGCATGAGAACGCAGGTGCAGGACCTGCGAGACATGTTCGGCCTGTTCGATCCAGACGGCACGGGTACGGTCTGGCACTCTGCATTGGAGTTGTGGTCGCGTCCCAGATGTCACTCCTGCAGTCGTCTGCCTTGTGCGTTTCTTTTTGGCAAGGCCACCTCGTTCAGCGTGTCTGGTCGATCAAGGTTTGCCTGGCTGACGCCACGTTCGCTGAATTCTGTTTTGCATGGCTGGTTGGTTTCTACCCGTGGTGCGTTGGCAATTGCGTAGGAGGACATTCTCGGGAGTTTCTTGGGGGGGCTTCAGGCTATTTGTTTGGGGAGCTTCTTTGGGGCAGACGTCGGGGTGGAACTGCTCCCATCATCCAATCCCTCCAGGAAATCTAGACCACGGTTGCGAGACGATTGACGTATGAAGCTCCGCTAGTTGGAGTAGGCAAGGGGCGAGGGCACGGCAATAGCAAACTCGGAGTGGTTCGAAGAGTCCCGAGTAGGACCTCTAGGGCAGTTTCGATCGTCGCTTTCCAGGCCGATGGGGCCACCACCTACCACTTTCTGGTAGGGCGACCAACTCCTGCGGACTGGCTCGAAAAAACGATTGGCATCTGGCTCAAGCACCTTTCGAGCCTTGGGAAATATCGAGGACGCTGGCGGCGCATCACCGGCCGCTCCCTGGGAGTTTGGCGAAACGGTGCGCAGAATCGAGAGTCGTGACGCGGCGCTCATTCCAGCTATTCTTTCTGGGGTTTGTCTGGAGGCTTCTCGATAGTATCTAGTGGTTTTCGGCCAAACCCGCCATTCTGCCTGGGTCGTGAATAAGAGGTCTCTTTGGGAGGCTTCTTGCGGTTTCATGGCAGGCTTCTCGGGGGCCTCTCGGAGGAATTTTTGGCGCTTTTTGGGGCCTCTTGAGGGCCTCTTGAGGCTTCTGGGGAGGTGTCTTGGGAGCCTGTGGGTGCCTCTTGGAGGCAAGGTGAGGGTATTGGGGGCACTACTCAAAGGGAAGGCTCCGAAGGCATCTTCGCTTCCCCTGTCTTCGGCGCCTCTTGGGGGCCTCCAGTGCACCTAAGTCATCTTGAAGCCCTCTCGGGCCGTCTTTGGGCCCTCGTGGGAGCCTCTTGGGCCGTCTTGGGCGATCGGGGGGCCAGCTGGGCTGTTCTGGAGTGGTGAAAACCCGAGAGGCGAGAAGGTGCAAATCTTGCCAACACCTAGAGGAGAATTAGGATACTGTCCTCCTGGCGTCCTCTTGGGGATTAACTTGGAGCCTTCATCGGGCGTCTCGGGGGCCTCCGAGGCCGTCTTCACCCCGTGGGCCGTCTTGGAGCTCTCTTGAGGCATTTCGGAGCCCTCCTGGGCCATCGTGGGGCCCTCCGGGAGCTCTCGAAGCCGTCTTGGGGCAGTCTGGTGGACGTCTTGGGGACGTGCATGCGCGCAGGGGCGCAAAGAAGCGCAGAACCGCGGAGGGACCGCTGGCAGAGTAGCGCCCCAGGGGGGGGAGCCTCCTGGAGGTTTGCTGGCCACGCACACCTCGACACCTCGGGCGCCTCGAGGCCGCCAGACAGCCACCCGAACTGGGCCACCTTGAGGCCACTCGGGGCCCTAGGCCACCCTATAGGCCCGAGGCCGCCGTGCACCATTCTCAGGCCACCATCGGCCGCCCTTCTGCCCCCCTAACGTTATAATGTTCCAACCGACTTTAGCCTTGACCACCAGGAAGAATTTCGAGCGCCCAGAAAAGTACCAGAACTCAAGGGTTTTCACCTGTCGGGCCCTGGGAGACACTCGCCCGACACTGTCTCGACACTGTTTCGACACTCTTTTGACATTTCTCGGGGTGCTCCAATTTATTTCTGAGATGCGGTCTTTAAGTAGGATGGGAACAGCAGAACCCTAACGTCGCCCTGGGCCACCGTTGGGGCACCCTGAGCCACCGTTAGGCCACCCTGGGCCACCCTGGCAAGCCGGACGGGGCTAGGCCGAGGACAAATCCGTTCCAGGGCGTTCCGGAACGCTCTCGGAGCGTTCCGGAACGCTCTGAGAAGGCCGCGGCGCCGGAGACATCCTCCAGAGCCGCCAAATCTCATATATTCTCGATTTATCCTCACCCGAATTTGTCCTCGTCCTGGCTTCGTCTGGCCCCTCCTAGCTGGGGTCGGGGTAGATGTGGTTGGAGGATCGCGCCGCATCGCTGATGCATCGGCGATGTGCCTCCACCGAGGGAAGAAGATCCCGATCTCGGCGATGGTGGTAAGATTCTGGCCTCCAAGGTGGCCGAACTATTGCCACCAGCACCGAAATCTGGGATCACCTTCCCCCCTGTGGAGGCGACCCCCTATGTTGGTGTTGGTGCCCATCTCGGAGGAGGAGGAGGAGGAGGAGGAGGAGGAGGAGGAGGAGGAGGAGCAGGCCTCCGATATTGAGGCCTTCTTCGGAGACCCTGTGGGCCGTCTCCGAGGCCTCTCTCGGCTGCCCGTCGGCGCCCCCCGCGGGGATCCCATGGCTGCCCAGGGCTGTCAGGAGGCAGAGCTCCCCAGGTGTGTCCCCTCCATCTTCTACCCTGGGCATGGGGTTGATGTTGAGTCGGGCCTGTCCCCCTACAGGGGAATTTTCGACGAAAAGTAATAACATACCCACAAAATAATGAAACAATTGTCCAAACATAGTCTGGGGACTATTGTTTGAGTATTATCTGTCCTTTTTGGGGTATTTGGGGGGTATTTTTTTATTATTATTTTTCGTCGGAAATCTCCCTCTAGGGGGACACGCCCGACTTAATGTTAATGTTGTGAGCGTCACGTCTGCGCTTCCTTACTCACTCACCCTCCTTCTCCCCAAACGCCCAGGCTCTCTCGTAGTCGGACTCGTTCCCATTCGGACTCGCTCATACTCTGAGTTACCCATGCTCAGACTCACTCGTGCGCATTCTTGGTCGTATTGTGGCACGCTCGTAGCCATACCCATCCATACTTATCCGTAAGGGCTTCGCCCCCTGCCGCCGGCCCCCTCTCTCGGAGAATGGGCCATGGAAGAGCTAAGTCATGAGGCCTTGGCGCTGTTGTGAAGCAGTATCGAAACTTCATGCGAAGCCGATTCGCAATCAGCAAAACCAACTGATCACAAGAGGGGTTACCACACCTGGCGATTGGTAAGACGTGTATGGTTTACGGGCTTGGTTACCACACCTTGCGATTAAAGGGCCGAGGGAGTTCTCGCAGTTTGGGTTACCACGCCTTGCGATGGATGTGCGTGATGGGTTCGAATTTCAGAAATGTGGCAAATCCCCTGTGTTTTTGGACCCTGACCCCGCGGATCTGCGTGAGGGGTGGCACCGAATTTCAGAAATGTGGCAAATCCCCTGTGTTTTTGGACCCTGACCCCGCGGATCTGCGTGAGGGGTGGCACCGAATTTCAGAAATGTGGCAAATCCCCTGTGTTTTTGGACCCTGACCCCGCGGATCTGCGTGAGGGGTGGCACCGAATTTCAGAAATGTGGCAAATCCCCTGTGTTTTTGGACCCTGACCCCGCGGATCTGCGTGAGGGGTGGCACCGAATTTCAGAAATGTGGCAAATCCCATGTGTTTTTGGACCCTGACCCCGCGGATCTGCGTGAGGGGTGGCACCGAATTTCAGAAATGTGGCAAATCCCATGTGTTTTTGGACCCTGACCCCGCGGATCTGCGTGAGGGGTGTCGATTTCGAGCCCCCCCTCAGCAATTCAGACATCGCGCCCAGGAGGTGCTAAAAATCTGGTTGGGCCTCCCCCCCCCTCGCGCGGTCAATCAACTAGTTGCAGTAACCAGCAAGAAGTCAACTAGTTGCAGTAACCAGCAAGAAGCAGAACTGTAACACTGGAAACTACAAACTACAACTGGTGAATCACGCGCCTCGCAGCCTGGTGGCCCCGAAAGGGGGCCGGCGGATATTCACTCGTACTCAGGCTTGGTCTTACTCAGATTCACTCCCAGGCTCACTCACACACAACCTCAATCGCAACAATACCCACTCACACTCATACCACTCGTACCTAGGCCCGTGCACACACAGGCCCTCATACTCACAACTAGTCGTACTCAGACTTACTCATACACAAACTTGCTCACACGCAGACTCACTCGCACTCAGACTGAGACTGAACCATAAAGACAAACCATACTCAGACTCCCTCACGAGCGGAGTCTCCCATACGCAGACTCACTGATACCCAGACCCACTTATTCACACACTCACTCGCAATCACCTCCTCTTGCATTCAAGGTACTCATTGCTCAGACTCACTCACGCTCGAATTCACCCATGTTCAAGCTCATTTGCATCCTGACTCACTCGGATACAACCTCACTCGCACTCGGAGTCTCTCATACTCCGACCCGCTTGCCACTGACCACGGCGATGTAGCATGCATTGCATTTGGGCCGCACGAGCTGGTTTCGACCAGAGGTGTTCCACGAGCCTGTTCGATAGTTGGGACTTCGGATGATTTTTCCCAACCATCCTGTGGTGTTGGGTCCTCGTTTTCAAGAGACGGTCCCCGCGTCTCCTCCTTCCTTCCTTCCTTCCTCCTCCCTCCTCCCTCCTCCCTGCGTTTCGCCCACCAAGTACAACGTTTCGTGGCCCCCTAGGGAGCTCCACCGAAGGCCCCGGTGCCACCGCCCGCATGCGTCACCCACACCCATTTCTGCACACCCCTCACACGTTTCGTGTCCCCATAGGGAGCTCCACTAGAGGCCACAGTGCCACCGCCCGCATGTGTCACCCACATCCATTTTCGGCACACCCCTCACACGTTTCGTGGCACCATAGGGAGCTCCAACGAAGGCCCCAGTGCCACCGCCCGCATGCGTCACCCACACGCATTCGTCACATCCCTCACATGTTTCGTGGCCCCATAGGGAGCTCCACCGAAGGCCACAGTGCCCTCGCCCTCATGCGTCACCCACTCGCAATTTCGTCACACCCCTCACACGCTTTGTGGCCCTATAGGGAGCTCCACCGAAGGCCCCAGTGCCACCGCCAGCATGCATCACCCACACCCATGTCGGCACATCACTCACATGTTTCGTGGCCCCATAGGGAATTCCAACGAAGGCCCCAGCGACACCGCCCGCATGCGTCACCCACACCCATGTCGGCACATCACTCACACGTTTCGTGGCCCCAAGGGAAGTTCCACTGAAGGCCGCAGTGCCACCGTCCGCATGCGTCACCCACACCCATTTCGTCACACCCCTCACACGCTTCGTGGCCCCAGAAGGAGCTCTAGCGAAGGCCCCAGTGACACCGCCCGCATGCGTCATCCACATTGTCGGCACACCCCTCACACGCTTCGTGGCCCCCTAGGGAGCTCCACCGAAGGCCCTAGTGCCACCGCCCGTATACGTCACCCACACCCATGTCGGCACACTCCTCACACGTTTCGTGCCCCCATAGGGAGTTCCACTGAAGGCCACAGTGCCACCGCCCGCATGCGTCACCCACACCAATTTCGGCACACCGCTCACACATTTCGTGGCCCCATAGGGAGCGCCACTGAAAGCCACATTGCCACCGCCCGCATGCGTCACCCACACCCATTTCGTCACACCGCTCACACGTTTCGTGGCCCTATAGGGAGCTCCACCGAAGGCCCCAGTGGCACCGCCCGCATGCGTCACCCACTCGCATTTCGTCACACCCCTCACACGTTTCGTGTCCCCATGGGGAGCTCCAACGAAGGCCCCCGTGCCACCGCCCGCATGCGTCACCCACATTGTCGTCACACCCCTCACACGCTTCGTGGCCCCCTAGGGAGCTCCACCGAAGGCCCTAGTGCCACCGCCCGTATACGTCACCCACACCCATGTCGGCACACTCCTCACACGTTTCGTGCCCCCATAGGGAGTTCCATTGAAGGCCACAGTGCCACCGCCCGCATGCGTCACCCACACCAATTTCGGCACACCGCTCACACATTTCGTGGCCCCATAGGGAGCGCCACTGAAAGCCACATTGCCACCGCCCGCATGCGTCACCCACACCCATGTCGTCACACCGCTCACACGTTTCGTGGCCCTATAGGGAGCTCCACAGAAGGCCCCAGTGGCACCGCCCGCATGCGTCACCCACTCGCATTTCGTCACACCCCTCACACGTTTCGTGTCCCCATGGGGAGCTCCAACGAAGGCCCCCGTGCCACCGCCAGCATGCGCCACCCACGCGTTTCGTGGCCCCATAGGGAGCTCCGCTGAAGGCGCCAATGGCTGCGTTCGCATGCGCCCACCGCACCCATTTCGGCACACCGCACGCGTTTCGTGGCCCCAGGGAATTCCACCGACGGCCCAAGTGGCTGCTCTCGCATGCGCCCACCGGACAACGTTTGGCACACCGCTCACACGTTTCGTGACCTTACAGGGAGCTCCTCCGAATGTGGTACCTACAACGAACATGGTTGGGTCCTTCGCCATGCTAATTTGTTTTGGGCCTGGTAGTGGGCGAGTCCCTTCTCAGAGCCTTGTGGAAACTGCGATTCAGCGGGCACTGCACTTTGGCCACCCGGAGGGGTGTCGACCGGACGCGTTCCAAGGGTCCGTTCGCGCGCCCAGATTGCGGGGGGGCCTCTTAGACACAGGATAGCCCCACGACGACCATCACCACCCACCAAACCACCCCAACCCAACCCGAAGGCTCAGATTTACCCTCGATTTCCAGTGTGTGTGTGTGTGTGTGTGTGTGTGTGTGTGTGTGTGTGTGTGTGTGTGTGTGTGTGTGTGTGTGTGTGTGTGTGTGTGTGTGTGTGGGTGGGGGGGGCGGGAAACATCGAAAAAACACATGTGGAACCCTTACCCCCCCCAACCCGAGATTCGGGTCTTCGGGTTGGGTTGGGGCGGTCTGGTAGGTAGTCAGACCACCATGTAAATTAGCATGGCAGGCTCGCCTCCCGAGTGGGCATTGACCAGAGGTGCTCCACGCCCGCCCGCGCCCTGATTGCGGGGATGCGCGTGTTTCTTCACAGAGTGCCCTGCTCACCGCCGTGTGGCATGCACTGCCACTTGGGCCATCCGAGCGGATGTGCGCCAGAGATGTTCCCAGGGCCCGTCCGCGGCCACATTGTGTGGACCTCACGGGCGGAACGCTCGTCTCGGCTCCACGCACGCAGGGGCTTCCTGTCCCCGTGACCACAGCGATGCAGCATATGCGTCCCGCCTGGGCAGTTCAAGGGGGTGAGGCCCGGCGGCGTTCCATCGCGCCCAGATTGCAGGGACCTCTCAGGCGAAAGTTCTCTTTTGGCCCAGTAGCCCCATGATTGTCGCGATGCAGCCCGTAGCCATTTTGGCTAAAACTTTCAACATAAGAACCCAGAGCGTCAAGGTCCTCATCCACCGTGCCCCCCCGAAGATCCCAAGAGCTCGAAGCCCAGAAACATTTTGGATGAGATATGCTACTCGACTATGAGCCTACCAAGCAGGCGCTACAGTGAATGAGGGGGCGGGGGGAGCACATGCAAGCCGACCTTGTCATGGCCCACGTTGCTGGAGGGCTCTGGGCACAGAGTAGGGTCTAAAACGAACGTTTCCCTATCAGTGATATGTGTCGGTGGTGTGGCGCTCGGCCGGGCACTATTCGGCATCGCGTTTTTGCCGTGACGGTCAAGCTGCACGGCGGCGTGACCAGGACATGTCTGAGCTGATCGACTCCAGCAGAGATGCGGGAGATTGTCCGCTGACCAGGGCTGGCGTCACAGGCAGCTGAATATTTGACGCTTGAGCGGCTGGGCCCCAGGGGGCACGTTGGACTTGGGATGTTCATCGGCGGATCGGACCTCAACCCAGCTGATGGGTAGCACATGGAATCGGAAAGGGCGTGTGTGTTCCTTGGTTCCAGGTTCACGCGAAGCAGGTCTTGTTTGTTACGGGCCCACCCTGGGGCCAGTTCAGAGCTCGGGCCTTGCCGAGCGCTTCGTTTTCTTCCTGGCGCTGTGTCTCATGGGCGCGCAAGTGACAATAAACACAGATCACAGGAACTCGCTGCTTCGGACAGGGGAGCTGAAATAATGTGTGACCCATCCGAGCCATACTTCGAACTTTGGAAGTTGATTTCCTGGAAGTTGGAAAATGTTGGGCGACAGAAGGTTGACCTTGCGGATGCCGTTTCATAAGCCCCGGTCCTGGTTGAACCAAAAAAGAGTGTCCTGCTACTTGGCACTCAGGGAACTCTGAGGCTGACATGTGCGCTAACTTTGGGCCATGGGGCATCGCTGGACTCCCCACGCCCTGGACCGTCTGAGGCCTGCAGAGCAATGTTTGTTGAAATGTGTTCGTCTCCTGTCAGGTGTGGTGTTATATCTCAGTAGGGTAGGTCTTCCAGATGTAGTGTCCTTCCCGAAGGCCCAGAAGATGCTTGAGAAGCGTGTTGCAGCGTGTGGGCCACTTCATATTACTCGGATTGTGAAACGGGGTAGTGGGCGCGTCCCGCAGAAGGAAGGAGGGCTGGGGATGTGTATTGTGCGGCCAACGCTCTCTTAGAAGGAGTCGTGCCACCAGCCATCCGTGCCCAGGGGTCCCTGGAATGATTGCTCGTGCCCACCCGAATCACATACTGTGGGTGTGTGTGGGCGGACGTATGTCGGCGCGCGCTGCGGGAAGTATGGCACGGACCAGGTGAAGGGCCTTGGTCCAGGAATCCTGGCATCGCTCGGACGTGTGCATTTTTTCTCGGCGAGAACCTTTGAGGACGATCCTGGACCATCGAGCAAAAAAACGCACGAAACCGAAAAATGCACGGGAAATGAACGTCCGAGCGATGGCGAGGGAATGCCCTCCCCGCGGCCCAGGCGAATGGGACAGGAGAGCCACGAACGAACCCAGGAAGGGGAGGGACCCAACCAGCAAGAGGGTGGTGGGCTGCTCCAACCCACACTCAGTGCACAGCTTCCACATTGACAGGTCACCTCTCAGCAGGGAGGGATCGACTTGTCCGAGGCTCCAGAGAGGCCCCAGAGGAGAGGAGGCGGAGACCACAGGGCTCTAGGCAAAAAACGAGAACCCAACCACAGGAGGGTTGGCACAAAAAGCAGGAGGCCGACGGCAAGAAGACTTGGCATCGCTCGGACGCGTGCATTTTTCCTTCGGCGAGAACCATCGAGGAGCATCCTTGATCATTTGGCGAAACAAACCACGCACGAAATCAAGACAAGCACAGGGAATGGACGTCCGAGCGATGGGCAGGGAGGCCGACGGTGCGCAATGGCAGTGACACGGGTTACGTGGAACCGCCTGGACAGGATAGCCATTTGTGTTTCATGCAAGGGACGGCTGCGATGTTGAGCTTGTTCTGGGACCCCCGTTCGTTGTCCGCTGACTTTGTGTGCCAAGAGGCGGTACCCAGGCCATCTCCAGGCAACGAGTGAGTAAGACTGCTGATGGGCCGAGTGCTGCCGAATTGGAGCTGATGGGCTCGCTTCACTTCACCAGTAATGCTTTACGCGTTTTTTTCCTGACCCCTTTTATTTGCTTTCCCTTCCCCTCATTGTGCACGCTTCTCGAGGTCTCGCTTTCTGACATACGGATGGCGGCGGCGGATGCGCAGCTGGAGAAGCACAGCCCCGAGGCGCTCGTCGGGCTTGCTGGTAGTCCTGGGTGCATGCAGTTCGAATTGCTTGGTGTCCCGAGGATGCCGGATGGTAACCGTCCCCGCGGTCGTGCTTGCTTCGTCCAGCTTGTCAGGCCAGCGTGTGGCACTTGCGGCAATCCTGCATTATAACGGTTTTCCGAGCATGCGACATGAAGGCATCAGGTTTCCTGGGTAGCGCCGAATGCAGAGGAAATATGGCATGGAGGGCCTTGCGCATGCCTCAGTTCTCACGCCATGGTCGAACGACTTCTTCTCAACATCTTCGGTGGTTTCGGTCTCGGACCCCGAGCCAGCTTGAATTCCGACCGCCTGAGCTATTGGGCCATATCCTGGGGTTTCCCGGTCTGGTCGAGCCATTCGTGCGGCTCCCGAAACCGAGGCCCCTGAGAAGAGAGTTTTGCATTGGACGACATCCGCCTACAATATTGCGTGACTCGGGTGATGCTGGCGCCCATTTTGGATGCACTGCGGGGGTGTACCAATGCACAGGCCATCCCGAGCATGGTACATTTTCTGAGACGGTTGTGGGTTTCCGGGCTCGTGTTCCCTTGTAGGAGCCCCCCTTCCCAAGAGATGTGTTCGTTTGCCTGCAGAACTCCCTTAAGGCTCCTGTGTGGCTTACTTGCGAGATAAACTAACTTTGATGCCCGCAAGGCCCCCACAAGTGGGGGGGTCTTCCGCCAGTTGGGGCTTCTTCCTCAATCTCGAAGCCCCCGCAAGGTCAGCGTGGACGATTTTCGGCAGACAGCTGCTCCTCCCCAACACACGTGACCGATCATGAGTTCTGAGCCTCCGATGGGGTCCAGCATAGGACGTTCTCAAAGTATTGGCTTTTCGGATGGCGTGATGTTTTGCAGAGAGCAACACGCGATTTTTCGATGTTGGCACGGCTGAGCCAGCAGTGAAAGGGCAGCATCGGTTCACCTATCCCCACCCTCACTGGGCCATGGTAGAGCCAACCCGCAAAGTAAGGATGAGCGATTTTTTCAAGGGTGCCCTTGCATCCCTGCCTCTTCGGCCCATGCTTGTCAACTTTCGCTGTTCAACCTCGTTCGAAGGACGTTCACATGGGCCTCCAAGGCCCTTGCATCCTCACCGTGCATCCTTCTGGTATGGGTTGGCTGTATCTCAGCCCCACCAGTCCACCCTCCTGGGTGAAGATAGGCCACACGAAACACGAAGGAATCGGCGTATATGCTCACGCTGGTTAGTAAGCAAGGGCTCCCTCGAGGGCGCGAAGTTATTCGCGCTTCGCGCTTCGCGGTTCGGCTCCGATTCCTCCTCGTCCTCCTCTTCTCCCTTTGGGAGGGCGGCGCGAGAGCGCGAAGTTATTCGCGCTTCGCGCTTCGCGCAGCGCGAAGCGCGAAGTTGGGAGCCCTTGGGGAAGCGGGCCGAGAGCATCGGGCAGACCCCCGGCGGGCTCGCCCGCGCCGGGGGCCCGGCTGCCTTTCCTGGCGCCCCATCGCAGTCGCGCTGGTCGGGGGCGGAAAAGAGGGGGGTGATGACTAGGGGGGGGGGATATCATGGCGTGGGCCATGATGTTTCCCCAGATTTCATGGCGCCTCTTCTTCTTTCTTTACGTCCCTGGCCCCCCCGCTGGGCCGCGCACATGCCGCCGGTCATGATTTGCACCCCCCCTCTTGGACACCCCCCTCTTGGCCGCTCACGAGTTGGGGAATGTCGACTATACGTGAGAGTGACCTTTCGCCGGTGTGACCTTCGGCGCGGGCCAAATGGGGTTCCCCGATCGCCGAGCGCGATGCGGTAGTAGCGTCTCGCGCGCTCGCGTTTGGCCCCCCCCCCGCGGCCCCCCAAAAGCCGCGCACCAGAGGTCACTTTTACCGAGGGTCACTCTTGAGAATGTGGGAGGCTCGGCAGCAGCGTGGTCCACCCTCTGATGGACCACGCGTCGGGCTTTTCAGGAGGCCAGTCTGGAGCCAGGGGGGCGCGTCCCAGGGTTAAAAGTCGGGCCTGTCCCTCCACAGGAGGAATGTTCCAAAAAGGTCAAACAATAGCATGGGGACGGTTTGTTTTTTGGGGGAGACTATGTCGGTATATTTTTTGGGGTATTTCGTCCAACATCCGCCGGAAGGGGAAATGCCCGACGTAATCCCAGGGCTTTCAGCCGTCTTTCCTGATACCGTGCCGAGCGAGAGTTCGAGCGTCGGCGGTCGAGGTCTGGCGCATGCTCGCGTGCCTCAACGACGAGGAGCCAGCCGCGACGCGCTTCGGGCGCGCCCGTGTGATCGTAGCTCCCCGCTGCTCTGCGCGAGGGCACGGTCCCCTGAGACAGGCGCGCACGCCCTGGCATCGCTCGGACGTGTGCATTTTTTCTCGGCGAGGACCCTGGAGGAGCATCCTGCACCATCGAGCAGCAAAAACCACGCACAGAAGCCGAAAAACGCACGGGAAATGGACGTCCGAGCGACGGCAAGACACTGGTGGGAGGCGCAGGGGGGTGGCGAGTCTCTGCTGCTCTGTGCGCTGCTGCCAGGCGCTTGGTGCCGCCGCTGCTCCTGCGCTCCCGCTCCTGGTCCTCCTTTGGGCAGTGGCAGGGTGAGTTGGACGAACAGTGAGAGGGAGAAAGGCGATGGTCGATGCTGAGGGCTAGCGTGGGACGATGATCGATAATGAGTTGGATGACCAATGAGAGGGAGAAAGACGATGGTCGACGATGAGGGCCAGCGTAAGGAGAATCATCGTAGACGGGGGTTGGGGTCCGAGTCCTGGCCCCATCGGAAGTGAAGGGGGCCCGGCCTGCCAGGAGGAGGCCGACTTCGAGCGGTTCGTCGGCGCAGTGACCGAGCCGCTCGGGGATGGCCAGTCTGGCGCTCGATCAATGCTGCACTCCAGTGCAAACGAGAACGAGGGATGTTGAGGATGAAGACGACACATAGAAGTGAGGATGATGGCATGAGGAGGGTGAGGAGGAGCATTAGGGATGTCTGAGCTGCCCGACGATGCAGGACACACTGTGTGCGCAGGAAGGAGTGAGGCACAGGATGGGGAGGATATCAACTCGCCACTTGGTTCCCTTCTCCCCCCTCTTTTCACGATTCCCCGCATTTGTGCTTGGCGATGTGTGTCTTCAACGATTAACTGATTATGTAATCCCACGTTTTGGCAGCTGCAGCAAGTAGCAGAGTCGGGCCCGCTCATGAGCTTTATGTGTGGACACTGGTGTGCGCCCTGCTGTCAGCGAAAGCAGGCCACTGCGCAGTGCTGGCACGGCCTTGCCGATGCCGTGCCAGTGCCGCAATCTCGCCTCGCCCCTGCTCAGCTTCGCCTCGCCAGAAGCCATGCCCGTGATGCCACACGAGAGGTGGTGGCCCAGAGCCGCAATCGCAAAATCCCAGGTCTCTTCCTGCGCATGTTGCCGAGTCAAGGGCTCCCTCGAGGGCGCGAAGTTATTCGCGCTTCGCGCTTCGCGGTCCTCGTTCCTTCTCCTCCTCCTCCTCGTCCTCCTCTTCTCCCCCTTGGGGGGCGGCGCGAGAGCGCGAAGTTATTCGCGCTTCGCGCTTCGCGCAGCGCGAAGCGCGAACTTAGGAGCCCTTGCCGAGTCAGGCCCACCTTGATCGGCCGCGCCTGCTACGCGGGCGCCCCCGAGGGCGTGGGGCGAGCGCCCCGCGCCTCGGGGGATCCCAGAGCGGTGGCAGATTGCCCGTGCAGTGCTGCCCCGTCCCCTCCTGCCGCGCGGCGGTCGCCCACGGCGACGCTCGTTCGGACGGTGGGCGAACACGGCCCGCATGCATGCGACAGATGTCCGATGGAAATGCCTGATCGGATGCGACCGCTCTGGCTGCGTAGCCCATGATCCGGTTGCCTGCAGCAAGTCCCGCCACTGTGCCAGCCCAGCGCTCTGGGTGGCGACTGTTCGAGGGGGCATGGCAGGCCGTCGCGTGTGACACCTCGTGTCTCCAGGCTTGGGAGAGCCGTGATGAGGATGATGAGGATTGCGCTGACGACGGCAACGACGATGACGCTGACGATGACGATGCCTATCATGTTGATGATGATGCTGATGATGATGCTGATAATGCTGATACTCATGATGATGCTGATGCTGATGACGATGATGACGATGACGAGGCTGATGCTGATGATGCCGATGACGATCATGCTGCTGCTGCTGATGATGATGATGATGACGATGCTGAGTATGCTAGTGGGTATGCTGCTGCTGATGATGATGATGGTGGTACTTCTGATGATGATGGTGATGACGACATCATGTTGGTGGTGGTGGTGGCGGTGACGATGCTTTGGTGGGGGGGGGGCGTTGACGACGACGTCACCGACGACGACTACGACGGGAATGACGATGCTGACGCCGATGATGATGCTGATTCTGATGATGATCGTGATGAGGATGCAGACTAGGAGGAGAAGGAGGATACTGACGGTGCTGATGCTGATGCCGATGGTGATGGTGTTGGTGACAGTCGTGATGGTGAAGATGCTGATGATGCTGCTGATGATGATGACGATGATCATCATGATCATGATCATGATCATGCTGGTGATGCTGATGACGGTGATGGTGATGCTGCGGATGCTGATGATGCTGATGATGGTGACGGTGCTGCTGCTGATGATGATGATGATGATGATGATGATGATGATGATGATGATGACCATGCTACTGATAATGATGATGATGCAGCTGATGACGACGAGGATTTTAATGATGATGGTAATGCAGATTATGCTCATGCTGATGATGACGATGCAGATGATGTTGATGATGCTGATGCTGCTGCTGATGATGATGAGGGCGTCGATGCTGCTGTTGATGATGAGGCTGATGCTGTTTATGATGATGGTGCTACTGATGATGCTGATTCTGATGCTAATGATGGCGATGTTGTTGTTCATGATGATGCTGCTGATTCTGATGATGAACATGATGATGAACATGATGATGATGCTGATGATGATGATGATGATGGTGGTGGTGGTGGCGGTGGTGGTGGTGGTAATGATTTCGGGATGCTCTTCCATTGCTCTTCGTGCCACCGAGGATCGCGCTCTTGGCCGCCAGGTTGAGCCCCTCTAGCTGCATGCTGTCCCAGACCTTCGTGGCGCCGCTGATCAAGGGCCTCCTTGCAGCCACGCGTTGCCCAGCATGTCCAAGATACAAGCCGTCCACCCATGCCCTCGTGGCGGTGCTCACCTTCGCGGAAGACAATTGCCCAATCATGTTATGAGGGAGACGCCGACCAAAATGAACGCCACTGCGCGGCCTGGGAACCTGCGAGGCCTGGGAACCCCAATCGAACAAGTGCACTCGCATTTTTCAACGACGTATCTTGTCATACAAGGACTTAGATCGAACATATTACACTCATGGCAAGCTCCAATCATCACGCAAAGCTCTTGGTCGACTGCCTTGAGGAACGCCTTTTTCAGCGCAGCGTCCGACGCGATGGCAGCATCCCAGTCGGTGGGTATGTCAGCCGACATGCGGCTCTCGAATGAGTGCTGTGTGCACTTTGCATATTATTGGCAGCAATATCATGGTCCTGTCTCCGCCTCTTTGTTTTAGAAGTAGACGGCCCAGAACAACTAGCAACCATGTGCATTATTGACTCCTCCACTGCGTTGTGGATGGCGGCTGAAGAGTCAATGCCTTTAGCTGGCATCCTTCGAATATCTGATGGAGTCAACTGATTAATGACCATGCCAGCTTTCGCCTTTATGCGTAATATTGCCTCCTTGACGTCGAAACTGTCGATGGGGGGGCAGACCTTGCGCCCGTACCCACTTGCGAATGCCAGCAAACGACACCCAAACTCCGCTGATGTCAAACACTGGGTCTCGCCATAAGTCAGGCCATCTGGTAGCTTTGACGTCGATCGTGCCCCTCGGGTGGAACGCGTGCATGCCATCAACGGTGAGCTCCTCTTGAACTTCTGGCGAGTCTTTGACACTCTTTTGAATCGCGCCCCCTGCAGCTGGTGCAGTGGTCCATTGTTTGAAGCCTTGAATATATGTTCTGAGAGCTTTGGCGACAGCTCTCCCCGAAGCACGCTTGGCCAACTGTGCGACGCGATCACATCGCGGATGCGGATGCGAGAACCTCTGCCTGAGAAATATTGCCCGCTTGCCCCAGTCCTCGGCATCGTTGGATGGCGGCTTTTTGTCAGCACCTTTCGCAACATCACCGCTTAGTCGAAAATCAAGCTCGTAAGATGTATAATCTGCCGCTGTCCATTGCCACGCTCGCGACGCCGTTGGACGCGCGACGATGCTCGGAGTGCCCCGGCCCACCAGTTGGCAACTCGATCCTGCAGAGGTGCTCCACGAAATGTGGCAGCCTGCTGCGCGAGTTGTCCCTGGACAGAGGGATTGGCCGCACGTGGAAATTGTCCCACAGGCCTCTCATGATCAGCTGCGAGGGCATTTTTCCAACCGGCTCATCCAGCGCACATGTATGGATGTGCGCACCTATGGTTTCTGCATCCGAGGAATAAGGTTATGTTGCTTTGGGCGCTGTATGATCCAAGAGAGGAAGTGATATATATATATATATGTATATATATGTATGTATGTATGTATGTATGTATGTATATATTTATGTATAGCGCCTGCATATATTGATATTTTCTCGGCGAACATATTGTTTTTCACAACGCGGACCTTGATTTTCGAATGCACTCGCGAGGTTTTCTTTTAATTGCGCACCGATAAACTCATTCCCCCGCGCGCCAAATCGTTATTTCCGAGCCTGCGGTTGTCTAAATCTACAACGACACTGCATAAAAACGTTCCTCATCTAACTGCATAAAACCGTTCCTCCTCTATCCATAAGGGATCCTCCACTGCATAAAAACGTTCCTCCTCTACCTCAGCGAATGTTTCGCAACCCGTGCTGAAGAGCGATTTCCCCGAACAGCGCTCGCACTCTCGTAAAAAGCCCATCCAGAACGGAACTCACTGTTTGGGGCTAGTTGAGACACTGGAGACTGAACATCGGCTCAGAATCGATCCCCAGACCCCTCACGGGGTCCAAACGCACCAGTTTTCTGAGCTGCGCCCAGCCGTGGCGACGAGGGCCCCCCCCCAAAGGCCAACTCCCAGTGTCTCAAACTGCCCTCCTCTGAACCCTGAGCCCTGGCAGCGGCAGCAGCGAAGCAGGAGGGGAGGGGGGGAGGGAGGCTCTTTCTCTCTTTCTCTCGGGCCTAGCGCCGCGCGCGGCGCCGCGCCGCCGGGGGCCTCTCTCGGCCCCCCGGCCCGCGCGGGCGATGCCGCAGCTGCTGGCAGCCAGGAGGGGACGGGCGGGCGGTCGCCAGGGGCACCAGGGGCTACGGCAGGCTCGTGTCGTGCCGACCCCAGCGTTGGTTTTTGACACCGCGGGGATCGTTCAACCTTGAACGATCGGCCGCTGCCGCAACGTCCGATCGTTCAACATCGACAGATTCTGGGCCGCCGTCGGCGTTCAACCTTGAACGCCCGCGCTGGGGTCGCCGCTGGTCGACACGACGCGAACCTACCGTAGGCTAGGGGCGGCCCCGCCGCCGACCAAAAAAGTAGGGGCGTCGACCTGGGGCTCGGGCTCGGCATTGAGGAACGAGAAGAGAGGGGGAGGGCTAGGGAAATGGAGGTGGAGGGAGGGTGAGAGTCGCACTAACTTGCAGTGCGTGTGAGCAGCTGTAGACCACATCAGCCAGTCACAAGCGAGCCTCACGAGCCGAGCCATTATGTATATTGATTTTCCTCCTCCTCCGACTCCATTGTTATCTTCTTCCTCCTCCCCGCCCCTCCTCCTTCTCCCCCTCCCTCCTCCACCCCCTTATACTCCTCCTCCTCCTCTGTCTGCGGAG